GGAGATAATTTGAAAGGTAATTTATTTTTAAGTACATTGAATCCAGTGAATTATCCATTCAAATTAATAATGTGTGTCAAACGAGGCGATGAGTAATACTTGGGACTCGATTGAAGAGAAGTTGTAATAAGTAATCCCAAATTGGCATCTTTATTCATCTTTTGGATTCTGGGTGGCTCCCTTGGTATATAGTTTGGAAGTATTATCATTGTAAAATATAATACTTACTATTCATTCAAAGGTATCGTCCCAATTGGCATCTTTCTTGTAAATTTGTTTTGTTGGAGATTGGACGATACCAGATCAGGGTCAATGATATTGCCCGTGATTTGCATCTGCAAGACGAATATCCAATATTTGTGGGAATGGAGAGAGCAAAGGAGCAGGTGAAGGAGGCAGCTCCGTTGGGGAGATGGTTTGATGTTAAAAACGATCTGGCTTCTACTGTCATTAGTTGATTTTAGGTCTGCTCGTCGGTGGATTAGCCATATGTTACTACCAGTAACATGCTAATTAAGATCATTTCGATAATTGAAAAAAGGGCAATCCTCTCTCAACGGTAGGTGGCTCTGCCACCAGGTGACTCCTGTCGTACTTCACCAGGATGTTCTTTATCTCCTTCGTGCTCTGCTCGTCCACGTACTTATGGTAGAGCGCCAGCTATGACGGATTTTGGGTGCAAAAAAGTTGTGTATCAGAAAAGGTAGAGAAGAATATCAGAGCCGCTTGGTTTCTTGCGTATTTTTCAAATAGCAAACTAGATTTTAATCTTTAAATAAGATGAAGTTTAGAAAAATGTTCTATACAAGATTAAAAATTAATTTTTGTCGCTAAACTTTATTTAGTGTCAGCATATTAAATGTTTCTTCTTTTTATTTATAATTTTATGGTGTTCATAAATTAAATTTTATGAAAATATTATAAATTTTAATTCTCAATATGATAAGTATCCTATATAAGAAAATGTTTTCATAAATTTTTTTCAGTACACATGTTTTTGCATATTTTCTTATGTGCCACTAATTCACTATAATATATTTAGGTACATACATTTCGGTACACTAATTTAGTAAAATATATTATGATACAGACGTTTAGGTACACTAATTAGAGGAAGTAAAATAAATATAATGAATTAAAATGTGTATAATAATAAATAATTTTAATTTTAATATAATGACATTAAATAAGATATCTATTAAATATTAAAACAAAAATATAATATAAATTTGAATTAAGTACACATTAGAGGACTAAAATCAATATCCAATCTAATACCAGGTTTTTATTGAATTTTAATTTTCTTCAAGGATTAAAGTTCAAAAACCCTTTTTTCAAATTTAGGAGATAACATAGGAGTTAGCGCTAGGTGTGTCAGTAATTGGACAAGTGTCACTTTTAGAGAGAGACCATGTCCTTTTTGGTGAAGAAGATTTGAACACTGTGTTTTTGGGAATTGGATCCGTGCGGATCCATTTTGTGGGAATCCTAGGATTCCCACATCTCAGTCATTCATCGTGTATCGTGCTGTCAGAAATCATTTATTTATTTTATTTAAAATTAAATACAAATAGTATTTGAAGAAATTGACCGCATAATGTACAATGAACGGTTAAGATGTGAGAATCTCTAGGATCCCCACAATGTGGATCCGGAGAGGATCCTTTTCCGTGTTTTTGTATTTGCATATCAACCAAATAGTGTTGTATTGAAAATCTTTGTTTGAACCACGTCAATTCTAGCTAATATATTATGTTATCGGCAACTTTGTTTGAAGCTAAGTTAAAATACTCACTTAATAATTACTCATTTCCACTATGGAGAAACTTGATAATGATTGTAGCTAGGCTCTAAGGACTGGTTTGGTATTGATGTGCTTTATAAAAAAACTACTTCTGCTGTGCTATGAGAATAAGCAGCTGTGAAATAAAGTGGCACAGTGTTTGGTAAACTTTTTTATATAAGTACTTTTGGAAGAAAAAAAGCAATATGATAGTGTTTGGTAAACTTTTATGCAAAACAACTGTGACGATGTGAAATGACCAAAACCAAGCTTATCTATCTATTACATTTTTCCTTTTCTCTCTCTCTAGAATCATCGCCATTTTTTTCTCCTTCCCGTCCAACTGCCTCTCTGTCTCTGTCTCTTCACTTTTTCTCTCATCACCAAATTCCATTCTTTTCGCCACTTTCTCCCTCATCATCAAAGATCTTTGGTAGAGATGAAGCTGGGAGGAGCAGAAAGGGGATGATAGAGATGAAGGGAGAAGCTTCCTCCGAGAAATGGGAGAAGCTTCTGGAATTTCGAAGCTGGTTTCGTACAACGACGATTTGGTGAAGGTGTTGAAGGACTAAAGGGACATCAACAACTTGGCGCAGTGTCTCGAGCACCGCAAGGCCCTCCACTCCTCCTGCGATTCTATTTCAATAAGTCCAGAACTCGCTTCGATGGGTTCTATTTGTTTCCCGAGAAAATTTCTGACCCAGAAAATTTTCAGTTAGTTGCTTATACTTTTTTCCACTTTCAAGCAAGCTAAATTATGCCTTAGGTAAATATGGGATTGTATAGTTTAGAAACTTACTTTGTGCACACTCGTAGAGAGCTCCACCTCAAAATGTAGGGTTCTAACCCATTTTTCGGGAAAATATTTTCTTAAAGGAGGGGATAGAGGGGTTAGGTTCAATTTGATTTTTTTCTGGTTGATTCTCTTATTTCCCTTGCATAAATGTTTCTCGGAAAAAAGATATTTGGCTGGTGTTGTATGTTGATACGTGCATTGATTGATGAGTTCTTATATGAAGCAGACTATGAGATAAAGGGTAGGATTGCCAAAAACTTTCATTAAAGGGTCATTGTTCACCCGTGTTTAGAGGTTTGCGCAGAAGCTGAAAAGCCAGTTTTTCAAAGCTGTCTTTTGCTGCTTCTGTTTTTTGGCTTTTTTCACCTAAAACTGTGAAAAAAAAAAACTGAAGTTGGAAGTTTACCAAACACCAAAAACTCTCCTAACTTTTTTTCATACCAGCTTTTTTTTTAAATCACCTCAACCCCAAACCATACCTAAGTGTGGTACATTGAGGGACAGAGATCCTCTCTGGATCTGAGCCTAGGGATCAATATATACAGGCCATTGAAATTTGATCCAACGACTTCAATTATTATAACTTTTAGGGGGGTCTATTTGTAGCCATTGGATCAAATTTCAATGACCCAGATCTATTGATCCCTAGGCTCATATCCGGAGATGATCCTTTGTCCGACGGAGTTAGGCAACCAATGAGTTTCAGTTTATGTCTTAATCAATTAAATGACCATTTGATAACCATTTCATTTTTACTTTTATTTTTATTCTATTTTTGGTTTTCAATTTCATTTTTTTGAAAATTACTGTAAGGGTAAATTTTGAAAACTCAGATGAGTTGTTTTAATTAAAAAAAAATTGTAAATAGTTACTAAACACGTTTTTATTTTAAAATTTTGAAAATTTATGATACTACTTGATAGGGGTGGATTTTTTGCCAAATTGCCGTGCCAACCGAATTGCCAACCGTGCCATACCGATTTTGTGCCAAATTTTTTGTACCAATCGGTAATGGTACGGTATTGTACCGTACCAAAATTTCATGGTACGGTATTGGTAATGGATACCATTACCACGGTATTACCGTACCATACCGAAAATACAATATAATATATCATTTAGAAATTATATAATAGATAATTATATAACACATATTTATAATATTCCAATAATTTGAAAATAAAACCCTACTTATATTAGCATTGTTGTTGGTGACTTTGATCTCTTGAAATTGTGGAAATCAAACACAAAAGAGTTCCTAATTCTTTCAAAAATAGCCAAAATATCTTTGTAACCCCGACTTCTATTGTTGCTAGTGAAAATGCATTTAGCCTAGGGAGGAGGGTTGTAGACCCTTTTAGGGTATCCTTGACTCCTAAAATAATGGAGGCACTAGTACGTACTAGTGGTTGGCTTAGGGCAGATGAAGTAAACTTCTACAAGGAACCAACGGAAGATATGCTTCAATTTTACAAGGAAATGGAAGAAGATAAAACAAGAAAGATATGCTTTAATTTTTTTAGTAAATTTGTTATTAAATGGTTTTCAACTTTAATTCTTCTTGCTACTAATTAATATGTTTTCTTTGTTTTGTAATGTAGGCTTGACACAAATTCAATCTTCTACAAGTTCAATGCCTCCTCCAAAAGCTTCGACATCTCAAGCTTGAATAACTAATCAATTAATTCTCCTTTTTGAAGTTTACTTCCAATTTTCATTTGGTTTGAAACTTTAATTTCTATTTGGATTGTTAACTTCTATTTGTTTTGGTTTATAACTTCTATTTGGATTGTAAGCTTAATTTTAATGATGAATCTTGATGCATCATTTGAATTATTATGTGTGTGAATTGTGAATGATGAATTTAATCTATAATATATGAGATAAAGATACAAAAAAAAAAAAGTTTTGCCCTTGAATTGGGTTAAAAAAACAAAAACATATTTTGTCCCAAAACAAAATGGCAATTACCATTGTCATACCATGCCAACCGAATTTTTAGCAATACCGAACTTCGGTATACCGAAAGTTTGGTATGGTAATGGTAATAGATTTTACCAAACCAAAAGTTTGATACGGTAATTAGTACAAGGGTTTTGGTACGATAATCGTACCGAACCCACCCCTACTACTTGACAGCTTAATGATATTAAATGATTGTCTTCTGATTTTCAATGCATAATGTTGAACCATATCTTTAGATAAGCAAACTTTCCTAATGTTTTAGTTCATTTTGACCTTACTGTAGCGAACCTCGGACGAATTTTTTTTTTTAAATAAAAAATAAAAAACTGCAAAATTAGTGGTTATGGAACGGCCTCTCGACGACTAGACTGTAGACTCACGTGCCTCCAGATCATGATACACACTAAATGAAAATGATAATATTATGTTATAGAAACCCATCTTGCTACCTCGATCTCAAGAAAAGTAACAATAAACAAATAAATAAAATAAACTTTTCTGATTATGTTAACCAATGCCTCAGATCCAACCAAACCATCAATTGTTTTTGATGAAATTTTCTCTCTACTTGTAGTTTTCCTGGTAACCAAACACTATTTTCTGACTCAGATTAATCTCCACACCAAACTATGGCTCTTTTTGCGGCGATCCTCCGAAGCTACCGAAGTCCAGCACTTCTCAGAAACCCCATCATTGGCCTCATGAAGTTTCATTCAACCGTTACAAAACTTACCGGTCACTCTAGCGTGTTCGAATTTGACGAATACAAGGCGGCGAAGGCGAAGATGGTGGACGAAGCGTTGAATGCGGCGGTGCCGGTGCAACATCCCGACATAATCCATAGGGCAATGAGGTACTCGCTTTTGGGTGGCGGCAAGCGTGTACTCCCAGTTTTATGCATTGCTTCATGTGAACTAGTTGGGGGGGATGAGTCTCTTGCCCTTCCAACAGCTTGTGCTTTCGAAATGATTCACGCCTGCTCACTTATCCAGGATGATCTCCCCTGCATGGACAACGCCGATCTTCGACGTGGAAAACCCACGAGCCACAAGGTTTTTGGTGAAGATGCTGCGGTTTTAGCCGGTGATGCGCTTCTAGCCCTTGCCTTTGAACACATTGCGGCTAAGACAATAAAAGCAGTCTCGCCGGGGCGCGTGGTTCGAGCCATTGCAGAGATTGGTTCGGCAGTTGGGTCATTAGGCGTCGTGGCGGGTCAAATGATGGACATTCAAAGCGAAGGTAAAGAAGTGACGCTGCGAGAACTGGAGTACATTCATGCGCATAAAACCGCAAGGCTCTTTGAGGCTACGGCAGTTTGTGGAGCACTAATGGGAGGAGGGAACGACATTGAGGTAGAAAGGTTGAGGAAGTATGCTGGTTCCATCGGCCTGTTGTATCAAGTGGTGGATGACATTTTGGATGTCACGAAATCGTCGGAGGAAATGGGAAAGACGGCGGGGAAAGACTTGGTAAGCGATAAGGCAACATATCCCAAGCTGATGGGGATTGAAGGGGCAAAGGATTTTGCTGCCAAGTTGAAGACTCAAGCATTGGAAGAGCTTGCTCATTTCGATGCTGCTAGGGCGGCTCCATTGTACTGTTTCGCTAATTTCGTAGCCAAGAGACAGAGGTAGAGGAACAATATTGAACACTGTAATTCTGTTCGTTATTATTCGGGTGCACAAAAACCCAACCGAGCAGGGTTCATTTGCATGATGCACAATTGACACGAAAAATATGCACGAAAAGTTCAATGTTAGCGTTTGATGCTTATCGTCTTGTGTTGAAACCTGCTGGAAACTGTTGTTTAGGCGATTTTATGTAACTATATTTTCACCTTCTGTACTCGAGCTATGCAAGATCACTCACTTTGCTTCAGCCTCAACGTACTATTATCTCGCTGAGCTTCGGTGGCAAGTAGATAAAAAAACAGAAGGATGGCAAAACTTGAGATATTCCAACATCTGCATTAGCATTTGAATCCACTTAGCAACTCAACACATATACTTAACTGAGGAGTTTCTAATTTACAATACACACAAGACACTCCAAACTCTAAACCCGTTCAATGACCTTGTTTTTCTTTTTCCCGCCAGAGTCTATGAACTCGGTGTACTCTCTCATCTGACAATGTGACTTCCAATACACTAAGTCAATGATACAGAAATGATTGACTTGATTAAGGTACAGTACAGGTAAAGTTAAAGTATATACCTAGAGAGAACAGCGGCAAGACATTTTAACCCAAGACTTTCGGACGCCAACCCGCAATGACATCTTCTTTCAGGGCACTAGTTTTAACGAATGAATCCAGTGAGAATATACTCTGCAAGTCAGAAATTCAGCAGTGTTAGGAACATACATCACTATGTACAAAATGGGTTCTAGTCCTCCCACAAGCATGAGTAAAAAGCAAGAACTAGATGGGATAAACTCAAACAATCGCAAAATTTTTTACAATATGGTCACAGTACTTTCATTAACATGGGATAAGTTCATCCGATCCTAGACATTACAGTACTTTCATTAACATGGGATAAGTTCATCCGATCCTAGACATTCTTGCAAGTCCAATTTCAAAATTCCTGATGAGAGTCCAGGAAAAGTGCATCTGGATGTAATTAGTTAATTTCTTAGCAAAATTCCAGGAGTTGTGGTGTCAATTTCATAATCAAGATAAACCTCTTGTTCCTTAGCAGTGTAAACTTGTTAGTGACACACAAATGTCAATTCACATACCTTCATGTAAGATTTCACATATGGAAGGGAATCAGGAATTGACCAATCTTTGAAATGCCCCAGAGCAATCTCTAGATGATACAACTTGGGTCCAAGCGACAAATCAGCAGCAGAAACCTCTTTCCCATTGATAAAAGGACCCTTACATAAATCAAAAGACAAATGTCAGAGATATAACCATTCAATTTGGTTTTTCTAAGCATGACTGTACAAGAAGATTTTAACTTCACAAAATGCACATGCATCAAGGGCTACTACACCGAAACCACAACCTAAAGCTGCTTTTTTTTTTTTAGGTAAACAAGAAATTGTTACAACATGATTCCCTGTTTTTAATCTTGTGTTATAACCATTGATGGTTTAATCCCACATGGATTTAGCAGGATAAGAATGCTAAGATACCATTGTTGTGAATCACTTGTCTTAGAGGAATTACATAGTTTGACATTCTAAATGAAAGACATATATTGCCTTGGCTCCAAAACGTGTCAATAAATATCTCCCATGCAATCAATGTTGTGAATCAATTGACCACTGCACGACTTCCTCACAGGTCTCATGAATGTATTCATGCATTTTGAAGTACCTCAAAGGTTCTTTAGGTTGTGGTACTTTCTATTAATCTACAGGGCATCTCCGTATCGAGGCACATACTGATGCCTCTCTAAAGTTTCCTATCAAACAGAAGATCAATGACTGACCATCATACCTTCACACACGGTAATCTTGTGACTCAGGAGGAGGAAGAAGCAATCATTTGTGGCTCAGTTTTTTGTAAGAAAGAAAATTTTATTCAAGGAAAGTGAGAAAGTAGAAAACAGAATACAAGGTGTTCTTTGGACTAGACATTTCAAAGAGTCTTTAAGAAACAGAAAACAGCCACCAAATGTTGAGGGTAAGTGTGTTATAGATAGGAAATTTACAGACCATTTGCCAATTTTTGGACTGATCACTAGTATTTTTGTTGGGTGCAGACTTTTTTATTCAGTTGTATAAAAAACCCATTCTCGCTATTCATTTGATTATTCATATGCAAACAAATCATCTTTCAAGAACAAGCAAAACAAAATTGGCAAGTTGATATAAACTCAAGGCAAAAGTTATTCAAAAATGTGATGAAATCTTCCTTAATATGAACTGGAAGGAATGTAGAAGGGCTCACATTTTCTTTGAGATAATCGTTGAAAGAGCTAAGTTCATTTAGCAAAGCTTGTTCAGTTCCATCCTTGGGGTCTTTGCTCTTTAGGAAACCGATAAATGTAGAGAAGATCTTTGATCCACTGCAAAGATGAATCAGAATTTCTTATTCTAGTGCTTGAAATATAATTCTAAAAAATTTAAATATTATGACAAGACAGCAAAGTCAAAACTAGAATTCTAAAATAAATCAGTACAGGTTTTGACTAACGAACAAATTGAAGGTGAACTTAACATAAGATATTTCTCAAAACAGCCCCATGATATCAGGAAAATAAATTTGGTTCTATAATCATGATGGAAGCACTACTCAGAATAAGTAAAATGAAAATCTAGACAAGACTACCATTGGCCCTCCAATATTTCGCCATTCGTCAAGCCCATAACATATGTGATATGTCCTAGTGAAAAGTAAAAGAAACAGTAATGCACAGTAAAGGACATATAACATACACTGAAGCCTTCTCAGGGGGGGTTGCCAAAGGTGGTTCTGGGTACTTTTCTTCCAGTGCTTGTGTAATAATATCTGAATCCGCAACCCACTTCTCATCAAGTTTGACCACAGGAACTTTACCTTCCGAGTTAATTTTTAAGAACCTAAAGCAGGAACAAATTGATAAAACAAAATCATTGAACTGAAATGATAAAACGACATAGCAGCAGCTAATTTCAATTTACATTTATGCGCTACAGCATACCCAAGCAACTATTTTTCAACCACAGAGAAAGAAACAACACGAAAGAAATCAAATTTAATCCAAGATCAATTCAGATAATCACCATTCTGGCTTGTTGCCCAAGTCTACCAACTTCAGGTCATAAGGGAGATGCTTTTCCTCTAGAGTCAGCAACACCCTTTGACAAAAGGGACCTAGGAAAGACAAGTTATCAAAGAAACAGTTAACCATGCGCTCCCCCCGATTCAAATGCTACGGCTACGTACAATAACACATTAAACGATTTCCCACTCAATAATCATAAACCATTACATAACAATAAAATTATTCAAGAGTTTAAATCGACATACATATCGGACATTTCCAATAATGCCTGTCAAATGTTTAGTTTCTTCTTTTGGTAATTTTCGGTTCCAGAATCTGCACTAACAATGAGAGCTCATTGCATCGTTCAGTCTATGTAAGTAACAATGTAAAGCTCTAATGTAAAGACATCATCTTTTCACATTAAGTTCCATAATTTCGATAACTATTGGAATTCCCAAACCTTTCCACTCATTTTTACCTCCTCCAAAACATAGATAAGAACAGCTAAATTATCAATTTCTACGTATTTGGAGCACTGGAAGCGCGAACATGGCAATGCTACAAATCTGCTACATGGATACACTAAGAAATGCTAAACTAAGAAAGACCCAATTGAAATTTGCGAATTTTTCCCGCAGTTTCTAGGACACCAAACAGACTTACAGTCGCCGAGCTTGTTGGGAACAGTGGTGGAGGCCTTGGCGCAAACGTCGAGAGGGGCAACCATTGCCACCGTGAGGGTTCTTGTGGTGCCGCGGCGCCGCAGGGAGTTGGGGTTGGTTCTGAATACGACGGCGTTGGGAGGCGGCCGGAGGTGGTGTTTAATGCTGGAGGAGAGTACAGCGGAGGCTGCCGGATGGATTTTGGCGGTGGTCAACATTGCAATTTCTAAAGCTTATCGTGGAGATTAGCCTGATTAGGAGTGGCGAAGAGTGATACTGGAGCTAGCTATATTCCGTACAGCTGATTTTGTGTACCAAGAAGTTCCAGATTGTAACTTTACGCGTGGCAAACACGTCTCAAATTTATTTATTTAAATTTTTTTCCCAAAATGCGACTCGGTTTTGTTAACCTGGCAAGGTTCCAGCGAGACACTTATAGGTTGGTCATACTTGATATAAACCTTAATCACCGCTTGTTTTCTTCAAGTTTTGACTTTGCACTTCTCACTTTTTTTTACCAAATCTTTAGGTTTTGTCCCGCTTTGGGGTTTACCATTTTCAGGTTTTTATGAGTTTATGTTTCCCTAATGGAATTTTAATTTAGATTCGTGTGTAACAATCCGTTCCTAATTTTATGATTTTATTAATTTGAAAATAGTGAATTGACGAAAAATACTCCTAGAGGCAAGGTTGTTGACTTTCGTTGACAGCGCATAGTGAGACATACAAAATATTCTTTTAGCGTATCCTTGAAGTACTTGACTGTAGGCTCAAGCAAAACTGAATACGGAATTACGACAAAGATTTTACAAATTACAGAGCGTGAAGGGAATTTTTGTAAATTCATGTTATGGGAGATATTTTTCTATTTTTCTTTTGTGGCTTTGTTTTGTGAGCCAATGGGGCCCACACCCCACTTTTTCCCTTTCTCCTGTGTCTCCTTATCTCTCATTTTTGTTATTATTTTTTCTTTCTTCAACTATCTCCTCTTTCTCATTGCCACCTCACCTCTCTTTCTTTCTCAGCCCACACCATAACTCTCTTTTTCTTAAACCTTCTGTATCATTCTCCCTCTCTGCAAATGTAGAGTCGTCAGAGTACCATGACGCCCATCAACATCACGACAGATCACCACTCATTTATGAAGCAAGAACCAAGGGGACAGAGCCTCGAGCTCACTCATCTCTCTCACTCTCGTCTCTGCAGTCTTTGTGAACTGTAATCCTGAACCACCATCACTCGCCAACTCCGGTGAGCCAAACCATTAAACCACCACCACACCTTGTTATTCCCCATCTCTATTAAGCTCAGATCGTGAACATCAAACCCAGACGTGAAGCTTGCATTGCACAGTAGCCAGTACCATTGTTCATCATCTTCTCCAACGATTTCTTGTCGATTCCAACTAAGGTAAGGTCCAAGAACACTAGATTTAACTTCTTTCATTGAAATTATGGATGTGTGACTTAGTTCAAGCGTTTTGGTGAAGGGTTAATGTTGAAATAACTCGGAAGAA